AAAAAAAAGGCGAGAGTTGCAAAATAGCCTACAGTACCCTGCCATTTATTTCTCCAGACTCCTTTCTGTCTCCTTATTACTTCCAACTTAGCATGACAGAAAAAGGGTCAACTGAACAAGAAGTATATACACCTTCCCCACCCACTGCCCGGCCCACCCAAGGCAGTAACTTTTCTAGAAGCTTATGCTTTTCAATCAGAGCTGAATTAACCTCCTTTAAAAACAGTCTTTTCCTTACCTTCCACCCTCCAAGAAGAAAGCTTTCTTCCCTACCACACACAACCAAACTATTACAAATTCTACCCAACCAGTCCTTGTTTTAGAACTCTACCTCGTTTTCTACACCTGGCGTTTGTTATCCTACAGGCCATTAGTAAAACAGATGGTGCACACAAAAACTAAATGAGGGGACCGGAATTACACCATAAGCTCAGTTTGAAGTATTGCAGGCTTATGGTCTTACTTTCATTGCAACAAAGCTTGTATTTTAATTGTAACCATGTTGCTCTAATTTACAATCAGACAGGATGGTTAAAGCCTTGTTTCATGGTCTGGTACAATACCCTATTACTCTTGAAGGTAACTGTTGTGACCAAAAATTAAGATAATCGCTATGGAAAATTATCTCCCCACATTATAATTCAGTGGGGGAAAAACAGGAAATAACTAAACCTGAAAATTCACTTTAGATAAAAATAACTTCCTGTAAAGACACAACTTTCATTTGGTGAAGCAGAGAGGAGTCTTCTCAGACTGTTTATCACCCTCATTCTAGAGTACTGCTGCAACATTTCTTCCCATTTTATTAAATTTTTTACTATTTTGTCTTTAATTTTTATTGACACCATTGCTTCTAAAGCTGATGCACTGTGGTTGCCACTTCCTCTGCAATCTTGGTTTGTATAGATCACTATTTTTATAAATGTGAGGATCTGAAATTAGAAGATCTTTAAAATGGTTACCATTTTATCTAACATCAGAAACTTTTTCATGTTAATTGCAAAAAAAAGTTTTCAGACAATTTCAAAAAGCTCAAAAAGTCGATTCTGACATAGTATGAGTAGCTGCAATTCTATGTAAGACAGCAAGTCTATATTTGGTGTAAAGAAAGAGTTGTCTTAGGCCTCATTCCAGGCAGTGGAGTCACTCACAGTTTTACAGTCAAGATGGTAGGTATGGATTCCATTCAATATCTTAAGTAGTTTACGTGGTTCTGTCTGCTATTATGAAAAAAACTATAAATGTATACAAAAAAAATTAGTTCTTTATCCTGCATCCATTAAATGTTTCACAGGATTCCAGGCCACCTCCTCACACATGTAAGTAAAAGCTGAAGAATAAAAAGCAAGGACTGATTTTATCTCAAGGTTATGGAAACATCATTAAACCATAAAACCATGGTGTCAAAAATTTATCTTGACATTAGAAAATGTCTCAGTGGAGTTAAAGCCTTATCACGTAATTAACTGCAGATAATTCTGTTTAATACTGAGGATCAGAATTTAAAAACAGCCACAGCCTTGATAAATGGCATGTTAAATAAACTGGAGCTTCAGAAGAGTGATCAGACAGCAAGAATGAAAAAATCCAACTCCAGCTCAAAGGACAGTTGATACAAAAGCAAATTGTCTAGTAAAGACAGGGCAACACTGTCAAAAAGGAAGGTATGTTACCCTTCTGAAACGCCCCCCGAATCAGTACAGCTGATATTTTCCACAGGTCTTATGCAAACTAAACATACATTGGGGTGAAATTCTGTTCCCATGGAAAAAACCAGCAAAGCTTTCTCTGATTTTCAATGGGAAGTGTCCACAAGTTTGCACTCAAGGGGACTCTCTGCTCATTATGCATCACAAGGAAGTGAATAAAACTATAATCAATTTTCACAAAGACAAGAGCAGTGGTCAGCAGAGAAGGAGGACTGTTTAAAAGAGCTTCTGAGAAGCTCTTTTGACCTAAATCAGGTTGGAGATTTTCCAAGAACTATCTGGAATTTAGTCATCTCACTGCAGGAGCATTTTTCTCTTTTGTCTGGCTGTCTGTTTATTTTCCTTCTGGAAGATCCAGCATCAAACAGAATAAAAGTGACCTTTGACTGGATCTTTTTGTGGCATGCAGTGAAAGAACTGATCCAAAAAAGTTCACTGTTAGAATAAGCACCTACTGAACTTGAAAGGAATGTTGGAAGAGGTTGGGAAAACAAGATTACATCTTGAAGTCATGTATCTGTAGTATTTCTTTATTCTATGACCACACAGAGAAGTCATCACAGCTGGTCTTTTTTAGAGTTACACTACAGAGAAGAGACTGCGTAAGTCTGTTATCAGAGACTTCATAGTTCCAAAGCCTTAAATTTTACCTGCTGGGAATAAGCATCCCTATTCAGCTTAAGAAAAACACAAACAGTATTGTTTGCATTGACATTCAGTTTATCTTCAAAAAAACATTCTACAGGAGTGGCAGAAAATGCCTTCTGCTTCCTCACCAAGGATGGGGGCATACTAAAATCATGTCTCAATATAAAGCCATACTTCATAACACGCTCACCAGACAACCAAATTGGGAAGGCTATAAACTACTACGTGGACAATTAGAGTGACTACAGAACTTTCCAAAAAGCATTGTGCTTGACAGAACTCCAAACAAGATACTAATTTTATTCACGTGTAAAGCATAGGGTTATATTTAGTTGACAGGTCCTTTCTCCCAACCAACTCATCTGTTCAGTCAGATCCTTCTGTCAATTCTTTTTATTATTAGCAATATAATACCTGCACCCAGGATAGGTCTATGTCTCTCCATTTTCCTAGGGCAGACTACCACACAGACTCAGCAAAATGAGCAAAAGGAGGAAATGAGACCTACTTTACTGGTAAAAACAAAGAAAAACACCACCACCACCACCACTTGAAAACTCAGTACTTTGCAGTGCATTCAGTAGGGTAGGGACAAATTCATGGTCAACAAAAAGAATACACTGAGTTAAAAATATCTTTGTGATAGCAAAGTTATAGTGGGACAAATGTTGTCATTAACAGGAGCACACCTAGCTCTCCAGTTAACAGGATACGGAGCTGGGAAGTCTTGACTTTCACTTTGCCCTTGATGCCCACCTTGCATCACCTTGGTAAAATACATGGGAGGGAAGAGGAGGCGCACATACGTGCAGATGCTTGTGCATGCATGTAATTTAAAAACAAAAAATTTAAAAACTTTCCTTATTTTCTTCACCAGTGCTCCAACATACTGAGCAACCTTCACACTGCTCCTGTAGGGCCACCATGGCCAGCCTCCATCTTAAGCTTATTACTATATACAAGGCAATGACATTTGTAAAGAATTTCTTACAAGCTGCAATTCAGTACAAACTGGTTAGGCAGTGATCATCTTCTGATACTCAGCCTTATCTTCAGCTGTACAAATTCTCTGAACCAGATGACACAGAGTGCGTATGTCATGTGAACGCATCTGACAAAGTTCAGGCCAAATCAGCATGCCAACACAAGGCAGTAAAAGTCTGAGTGGAGACTAGGTAGTGCATAAGGATTTTATCTATGAGCCCTTTTGACTGGGTGTATTTCAGCCTGCATGGTTTTTCAGGGAAAATTGCAACTTTACTTGACAGCAGTCTAATCACCAATTAAAAAAAAAAAAAAAAAATCCAGAAAACCACCACAGTTGATTATATTACTCCTACTCCTCCTGTCCAAAACAAAACAGATTGCACAATTGTGCAAACAGATTAAAAGAAGTCAAAAATCATATATTGCATTCTTATTTAATTTTTAAGAGGCTCTTCCTTTTATTAATATCAAAAGAAAAACATCTAAGAGTCTGACTTCATAAGAAAATGCTTATTAAAACAACTAAAATATGCACGAGTTAAGATAAATCTTATGGTAGAATTTATCAATCAATTAGAAATCAAAAAAAATTAAACCAAGTTAAAACTGAGTATTCTCCATATGAAGTACCTCTGCTAGCATTGTTCAAATGAAGCTTTCTGAATTGAACGGGATAAATTATGTACAGCAAACACCAACAATATTTAGTTAGTAACATAACAAACATTTTACATATTGCAGAAATTGATTTCAAGTACTTTACATGTAGCCTTTTAGAACAGATGATCCACACGGCCCCTGAGAAAGCAGTTTGCGGGATACGGTACTGTCAGCAACACCCATGAACACATACTACTAAATGACAAAACAGAACGGGAGTATATCTACAAATAGAAGATACTGCACTGTGCAGAAAAATTCTAGGCTGAAGACTGATGCTATATGCTCTTTATCACTGTGGAAAAATTACTTAGGTTGATTGACTCAATTGTTTTTGAACTTGTTTGGTTTTTAATGCAACTTCCCCCCTCCGCCCAGTCCCCCAAGACCTTTAACATGGTAATTTAAAAAAGGAAAGTCAAAATATCCCCTGGCCGCTGCTTTAATTTTGAAGTGTTACAATTGTATAAAAGCGATAGTTCTGCTTAAATACTGACTAAATGGAAAAAATAAACAGTTTGATTTCACTTTCTCATATATCACATTCTGGATGTTTCTACTGAACTCCCACTCAAAAATAAATCAAGAACACAAGGAAATGATAATTTATGAGTTTTCAAGGAATCACATTTTAACACTTACTTTTGCGAAGATCTGAAAAAAGTCAATTGCAGGTGGCAAGTGAGATGCATCCTGGATCTCTGTTTTCAAATACAGTTGCAACGTCTGCGCAAGGTGCCTGAGGCCATCTTTCATTTCTTCACATAACTGTTCAGTATCTTAAGGGGAAGGGGAAAAAAAGTATACCATGTCATAAACAGAACCTTTCATCAACATTTTAAAAAATGTCCAATGGCAGCCATACAGTCTAGACATTTCCAGTCCCAGAATTAATCTTGACAAGGGCAATTTTGACAGAGGGCAGACATTTGTCATTTTTTGTGACAGCTACCTATCAACACACAGAAGAGTTTATCAGGTTGCTGCTGCCAGATCATATGAATACAATGGTGAGTTAAAGATCAAAAGCCAATAGGTAAAGCAGATGTGTAAGCAGATGTAAGCCATTAGATATGAAAATTAGGCATCTGGGTTTGTAACATTAAAAATGTGCCTGAAAGTTTATGCAGCAGTACCTTCCTCCCTGCAGCAGCACATATTTTTATACTGTAGCCTCCACAGATGTGTCAGAAACACTATATGCTGGTAGATCAAAAAGGAAAGTATTTTAGAGACAAAGGTAGTTTTGTACACAGCAGCTGGTAAACAGAAAGGATATGGAAGAATATTAAGCAAACATCATTTTATTAAATAGTAAAGCACCATTATTCATGCTTTATAGATAGGAATCCTGAAGCAGAAACATAGTGCCCTATTTTCTAGTGAAGTGATCATGCATGCATTAGGTCACTGATAACATGGAAAGTGAAAACTCAGCTGCCCTAGCAAGTTCAGTGTCTGATCACCTGCTTCACATTTTCTTTTTCCTGCCAGTTACCCAAAATGAGTAAGGCCTAAATGGAGAATGTGAAGGTGAACAGATTCAAGCATCAGGCTGTAACAAAAGGCAAAGAGCATCCTTATGCACCATGAATCAATTTCATCTCATCATAATGGTTAACTGTTATTTTATTTTAAACATCGATCCTTAATGGGAATGAAAATAACCTTTTACCAAGAAAGGTTCTTCCTCATGCTTTCGATCCAAGCTTGGCGGCCTCCTGGAAGGACAATTCAGGATCTGTGCTCCTCTTTAAAGCTAACTCCCAGTCACTCACTTAAAAAGAGGATGCAATTATAGCAAATGTCACTGCATTTCGCTAAACAGCTGTCTAGTGTGTATGTGGGTTTCTGGGCACTATACTACCTGGCATCTCTCTACTCATACGTACTGCCTATTTTGTAGCTTGAAAATTGGCTATCACAGAGTTTCCATTTCTCACACACCACACAAGTGAGAGGCTTTAATAACCTCCCATGAACTACTTCTGATGGAGCACTAAACGTTAGCTTACTAAAATGGCCAGTACCCATGGACAGCTATCAGCCAGACGTCTTCCAGTGGAGCCAGCTACAATTTGCTTCTAGTCTGGTATGGGTTTCCTTATTTTCAAACTCTTTGGTTCTGTTTAGACTTTCTCTGGAGCCACCGAGGGCCACCCTGCCTAGCTGAATGATGCAATCCTACCAGTACACTGGATTATGGCAAATGTACCCCTCCTCATGGTACATACAGATTTCAAGAAGCATATAGACTTTGAGAAGAATATTATCTATTGCATATTGTTTCCATTTCGGGGAAAGTAGCGCTTTCCAAAACCTGCTGCCATTCCAATGGTCAGTCGTTGGTGCTGAAATGCCATCTACAAGCCATGCCTGGAGTGATTCTGCAATGTGCTGAGCGAGTAATGCCTCCAGAGGAACCTTAAGGGTGGTCTGTCCCTGCTAGGGTTAGGGAAGGAGAGACACACTCTTCCAGAGCGCTCAGATTCAGCTCCTCACAAAGTTCAAACCAGCTAGTACTAAGAATGCTGAGATATGCCCCACCATACCTGGCACAAAGCCTCTTTAACCAAAGTATTTGCTTTTTTACAGCTACCCACAGAGCTATCCATGTGCATCTTAACACTGTGGACATTTGAAGGTGATCTTGCGAGCCTGAATGAATGTATATGTTAGAAATCCAGACATGTGCCCTCTTCACAATGTATGGAAATCTCTGGTACAGAAAAGTATCATACCATGAGGACTATGTCTTCAAGAAAAGCAGCAAACTTCTAGATGACTGGAAAACTCAAGTTTAAAAAAAAAATCATAAATATACACTTGCACTGCTTATATAATACTCCTTTGAAACTAAAGATGAAAAACTACATTTGAAGGAAAAAGCAAGACATCATATCATTCATCTTAAACTACCTGACATACACTGCAAAACGCCTCATGACAAAGAGAGGAAGGCATGATTTGCTTCCCTATTAGCAAATAAAACACCTCTAGAATGGAGGAGAGGAATCAGGTAAGCAGCACTGTATAAATGGACACTGCAGTTTAGGACAGATGTGAACAAGAATACCAAATCCAACTGGAACTTCAGGGAGAACTGACAGAGATGGAAGCAGAATGCAATTATCCACATTGGAATCTGTCCAGGACATCAGAGCTAATGATCCCAGCAAAAAGTCCCATGGGATCTTTAACTGCAGATGATCAAGACCTGGTTTTCACAGCCTATCAAGAAGCCAAGGCCAAAACCAAAGTGAAATGAAATCTGTGAATGTTTTCATTTTGTGTTTTTAAGAACTGTTTTTCAATTGTGTAAGAATCCTGGTGTGAGAGAGAAAATGTTATAAAAGGCCTATGGAAAGTTTTCTAAACAAGGCATGGGGATTTAATTATGCAGCTCTGATATCAATACAAGTAAAGTAACAAAGAGTCTGCCCATAGCACAGCACACAAAGTCTTTTCTGCATACTGAATCTTGCTAAGTGAAAGCAAAGTTGGTTTCTGAATGATCGTAACAGATAGCGAGCCTGTAGAACCACACAAGTAAGGAATGGTCTTATAATAAATGACAACTAGCAAAAGTAACAATGCATGCAGACACCCTTCCTACTTCATCTGAGTTTCAGGGTACACAATGAATTTGAAGGAACTATAGAGTTGGGAATAGAACTTTGTAAAGAAATAGATGCCTGCACATGTTTTGGGTTTTTTTCAGTATATATATTACATGTTTTATCAGATAGTTACTCAATAAGCATATAAAACTTTATATGCTTTTATTCAGTTTATACAAATCACCCACACTGAAAGTCACCCAACTATGTAAAGTTGCGTTGGTTTTGGCTGGGACAGACTTCATTTTCCTCACAGCAGCCGGTATGGGGCTACGCTTTGGAGTTGTGCTGGAAACAGCGTTGATGACAGCGGGATGTTTTAGTTATTGCTGAGCAGGGCTTACCCAGAGCCAAGGGCTTTTCTGCTCCTCAGCCCACCCCACCAGCGAGGAGGCTGGGGGGCACAAGGAGCTGGGAGGGGACACGGCCGGGACAGTTGACCCCAATGACCCCAGGGATATCCCATACTGTATGGCGTCATGCTCAGCGTATAGAGCTGGGGGAGGAAGGAGGAAGGGCATATAGAGCCCGGGGAAGAAGAAGGAAGGGGAGGACATCCCGAGTGATGGCGTTTGTCTTCCCAAGTCACCGTTATGCGTGATGGAGCCCTGCTGTCCTGGAGATGGCTGAACACCTGCCTGCCCACGGGGAGTGGGGAATGAATTCCTTGCTTTGCTTTGCCTGCGTGCACGGCTTTTGCTTTACCTATTCAACTGTCTTTACCTCAACCCATCAGTTTTCTCCCTTTGACCCTTCCAATTTCCTCTCCCATCCCACCGGGGGGGAGTGAGCAAGCGGCTGCGTGGGGCTGAGTTGCTGGCTGGGGTTAAACCATGACAAAAGTAACACTGAAAAGTAATAGTGTAAAGGAGATTGAGACAGCATAGTGACAATAACAATTTTCAAATATTCTGGACTTCCAGAGGAAAAAAAAAAAAAAAAGAAAGAAGAAACGAGAGTATCATTTAGAATCCTATCTATCTGTCGTATTTCTGATTACTGTTGAAACACTGTCTTCTATTATACAGATGCTTTCCAATAAGTTTTTTGCTTCAGATCACAACCTATATTTCTAATTCATGTGATTCCCTCCAATGAAATCTTTTCCCCCATATACTTAGAGTTCTAATGAAAATGCTTTTCTGACTTTCCCATGGAATCTACCAAGTACCAAAGGAAAAGTAAATCTTTACCAACACCATCTGTAAATTGTTCTGTAAATGGGAAAAATGTTTTGAAACAACAGTAGCTTTCTGAGGATATAGAGGCATCAAAAAGCATCACAGCTACTACAAGTGGTCACACCTTTCCAAAACACTCTTTTGGACTATTCTAACTGCAAAACCACAGAGACCATCTATTCACTCTAGCAAGGAAGCTGTGAAAACAGCAAAAGGAAAGAGTTCGCCAAAACCTTTCCATATGACTATGCAAGCTTATTCATAAGCCATTTGTATCGTATTCCGTAAAGTATCAACTTCGGTTAATGTCTAGGAGTCCTGAACACCTTGTGCTTTGGAGTTAAGAAGACTACACAGGAATTGTTACTAAAGCTCTCAGAGTAAATACAGATGAAACAGTAGATGTGGATCTCTCATTTGCCACCTCCTAAATTAACTTGACCAGCTCTTTCTGTATCAGTGAGAAGACAGTCATCCCATCTGTATCACAGGTGGTATTAGCATTTCCTTCCTAAGAAGAATTTCAGCAGAAGCTTCTGGCCATTTTATGGATTTTTGTACCATTTATCCATTGCAGTTCAGGCCTGTTCAATACCAAGCTTCTCTCCAGACAACTTATCACCCTATTCCCCTTGTCTCCAGTCAAGTTAAAGGAAACTGAGATCATCTCCTGAGGGGTACTGAAAAACCTGTTTGTACAGAATCATCAGTTACACAAAAATCTTTGCCTATACTACAGACAAGTGCTGTACAAGTGATCAATGTTTATTTTTTTAAAAGGGAAACCCTTCTCTTCCCTCCACTTCCTCCTGTGCCACTGTGCAACCAGTCATTGGTACAATAGAGCACCATAAAGAATTTTTTTCCCTGGATCCCAGTAGTGCCATGAAGCATAGAAGTCCATATTCTTCATCATTTTAACTTCATTTGAAGCATCTGGAAATGATGCTCTTAATTCAGATACTCACCTAATTCCCATAAACCTTTGCTAAATGATTTGAGAATATCCGTGGCAGAAAATCCTAATGTTTCACATTACTGAAATGCATTCCCTCTATCCCTTTTAATCTGCTGCCTTATTAAGGTCTTTTGCCCTTGCTGTTTGGCAGAAGGTGGTAGAATATCAGGATGTACAGAAGGAAAACATACCACTAGCTACTGAATTTGTTTTAATGTTTATGTGTTTTTTATTTCTACCTAACTATACCAATAGATCAAGCTGGTTTATAGCCACAGCTCTGAATAACACTTAAAAAATGTTGAGGTAATTAAAATATCCACATTACTCTCTAGAAAACACCTTTAAGCAAGATGCAAGAATGAACCAAGGATGTATTTCTTCCCCTTATAAGTCTTGAACCTTTAAGGTACCACAAAATCTGGAAAAAACGTTTTCTATTTCAACATTAGCTCTGCTGAGAAATTGTGATGAGTATCCTTTCCTACCCAAGCAGTTGAAACTTGTGAAACCACAAAAATATCATCTGTGCAATCTTATCTTTTTTTCTCCATTGAAAAGTCATGTAGAGGAAAGACATACACATATCCCTCATAAATTTTAGATTTCTTTCATTTTTCTGTAAGTTATTTTGAAGCTTTATGCAATAGCACATAAATATCAAAAAGTAAAACCTCAATGTAAAAATATATGTATTTTTGTATATGTACATAAAAATATGGGCACTGTATGTAATAAGGCAGACATTGGGTAAATTAAAAACTGAACAGGGCAGATGTACACTATAAAATGAGAAAAAAAATATTAAAGCCAAAAAATCAGGTGTAAGTTTTGCTTGAACAAGAGACACACTTTTTTCCTTGATCTTTGAAAAAACTGTTCTTCCCCACAGAGGTTTTAGCAGGTTTTGTCTTTGATTCTGTTATTCTACAGAGCAGACCTTCAGAAGGCAAGCTGCAAGAAAATCAGATGGCCATTCTCTAAAGCAGAACTTGGAAGCATTTCCTGCAATATGGTTGACACTTACTTGACTGAAGATCGGAAAAAGAGTAGAGTCTCTCAGAAAGCCACACTGATTGTCTAAGCTGTAGACAAAAACAGATAGTTAACACCTACATAGCACGCTATCTTGAAAACACTCTACAAGATTGATTATTCGATGTGATATGCCTGTAAGATAATTAGGTAAGGTTAACAGCATGAACATAAATCTGGTCATTCCATACTTTCTGTAAACTATCATAAAAATACTAAATTTTTCTTGGTGTTGTAACACTTTCTACTAATTTTTTTTTTATCATTATTTCAGCAGCTTACCCTTAGTAATTTACTTTAGCTGTTCACACTATAATTGAAAGCAATTTATGAGGTTAGCAGTCTCACATTTCATGTGACTATAATTAATGCACAGTATAGCTGGGTACATATTTGCCCTTTAAAAACAATCATGCACACACTCTTCCCAACAATGTATAAATTAAGATATTAAATTATATTTTATCACTTCAGACCACAACAAATGCATACGTTTTTATCCAAGACAAACAGGATCATGGCAGGGTCAGCAAAAAAATGGGCAAATCCTTTTTCATTTACAATCCTGCACAGTCATAAGCCGCTTAACCTAACAGAAAATTTAGTCCACATAAATTAACCAAACCGTGGGAATGTCAAACACCCAGGACTTCCAAGAGAGTTTAGAAAAAAAAGTAATTGAGATTAAGAGACTCAACATTGAACGTACAGCATTGTGCCCTCTAAAGGAAGCGCTAGATAACAGTGTTTCTGTCCTTACCACTCATCCAAATAAGGTTGAGTGAGGTTCCCAGTGAGGTTAATGGAAAAGCACCAATAATTTCAGTAGTAACAAAGAAAAAACAGTGTCCCTCTTTGCTTTCCTTCTAGGCAGAAATAAGTTTAGAATGCTACTACATAGTCATAGGAAGAGAAAGTCAATAAACAGGTCCCTTGAGCTTAATTATGTCCATTTTAGTATCTCTTGATCCTTTCAGCATTTCTGCAAATTAATCAGTAATCTTGTAAGGCAGCATGCAGTCCAATTTTGTTCAGCAATCCCAGTCACTTCAGCCGTCCAGCTCTTAATTGCATTAAAAATGTAGAGTAAAAAAGTATTTATCAGAATCTGCTACTTTGAATAAATCTAAAACAATGTCACTTACCAGTTTAAAAACAATCCTGCCAGCAAGTCTGACAGAGTCCGGTGGAAAATTAGGCTCAACGCTTTTAAGACACCTGCATTCTTGCCTGTGGTCCAGCCAAGCTTCTTTCTATTAGGATTTTTTAAAAAGGAAGAGAAAGAAAAAATTGCATGTTATTTTACATAACATATATTCTATTTTTTTATATGTATATACACATATATATTTATATATAGTTATTTATATTTGTACATGCAGGCAAACAAACATGCTGAGCCTTGCTATGGGCTGGACCTGGGGATCCAGAACCACACCACCACAGTCATTAAGCCAGGCTGGGAGGAATGGCTGCAGAGCCGAAAGTCGCTCCAAAGGACCAGGAAGGGAACCTTCCCTGGGAAAGGGCATCTGCTCACTCAGGCACCCTTGGATGCTGATTGCCAGAGAAACAGCAGCACACACACTTCAGCAGCGCAGTTTAAGTATACCGTGAGTGCTGTGGAAAGGGACAGGCTGGGTTATCCACTCAAACCAATTCCATCATGCCATTCCCTCCTCTAACGTAACTCATTGTGTAACTGATACTATGGACACGGGAGCTACAGCAGTGCAGGCTCAGGACACAACAGTATCACCATTACACTACTCCAGAATTTAACTTTACCTTTAAGAAACGAGAAACACAAACAAAAGACTGCACTGTCCAGTTCCCAGTCCAGTTCCTTGCCAATGCAAACCTTACTTCAGTCTGCTTCATGCCACTGTCTGATAACATAGTTTGTACCATACTTTTTCAAATATTATATCTGACCCCTTTAATGCACAAGAGGAACACATAAAGATAGAATGAAAACTCCACAGAAACCTACAAGAAATACCTTCATTTTTTGTTCCATGTTCCTGCTATACAAATCATTTCATTTACCTTTATGTAACATGCTATAAATAGCATCATCAGCTTAGTTCAAATTGATAGCACTTTTCCAGCTAGCTGAAATTTTTATTAGGTAAATAAATGGGCTCTGGTTCTCATGCTAATATTTCCTCTACTGTCCTAATTCTGCCAACATACACAACACTCCTGGCAAATGTTCGCTCAGCACCCAAGATCACAGAGGCCTTCAGAGTCTATCCACTTCACCAAAATGCAGCTGCTCTAAAGCAAGGGTTGAGTTTTCCATGCTGCAAAAACCAACCCCACAGCTCCCTGAGCTGACGAGGCATTAATGCCCACGGCTGGGAGGACTGGTGATGGTAATTTTCACAGTTCAGATCAGGAACAGTCGCTGTAATTTACCAAAATAGAAGACGGAACCAAAAATATTTTAGTTGCACGTACCACCTGAACCTGCAATTTTTGTTTCACAGGCCACCTTTATCAGAGTAGCGAAGACTAACACTTCCATAGCAGAGAAAAGATGGGATGACAAGGTGAGGGAAAGCTGCTATATATTGAAATATATAATTTATTTTTTCCCCTTCCTTGTCCCTCCCAAATCAGTGTGGAAGAGCAACAAGAATGAGCCTTCAGCTAAAGAAACATGTTTGAAAAGACAGTCAATTTCTGATTGTCTTTTTTTTTTTTGCCATCTTTACAAGCTGAAAATTCTGTTCATAATTTACAAAAACTCCAAGCCCATCTCATTAACATAGTACATATTTACACATTTTATTTACATATTCACAGTATATGTTTGAAGCCACCCAGCTGTTTCAAATACTTTTAAAAAGCAAATTGAAAAGACAGGGTACAACAAAAAATTGCCATAATGACACTAACTCAGAATAAGCAAGGGCTTCTGAAGGTGACATTTTCTCATAGATAGGCGGTAAGGGAAAAAGAATAATGAATTCAGAAAAACAGATTCTGTTAGGTAACTGCCACACAGAAAATGATAAAATGTCTAACAAAGAAATTACATGTTCAGCAGTAAAGAAAAAAAGGGAATGGCAGCGATACATGCAAGCACACATCACACCTGTAGAGGCTCACATGCTAGTTAGAAAGATTACAAAGGCTATCACACAATTTTTTCTTAAACTGCATTTAAGTGGGGGAATTGTTTCAGGTAACTATGTTTCAGCACCAGTAACGTTTATTCTAGTTCATTCAGGGTTTTTTTCCCCCCCCTCTTTGGCTTACACATAATAAATAAATTGGACTTTTTATTTCTTCCAGATACATGGGAGATTTGTGATTTCATTTCCTTTACCCATAACTCTACCAAGGGGAAAAAATGACATCAAGGCAGCATTAATCCATACACAGTTAGTGTCACATGCTGTCTGACAAATAAAAGTTAAGTATCTAGTGCTGAACAGAATTATTCTTGTCTAGAAGAAACAAGGTCATGCTTGTAAATGTCCAGACATCATTCTGTATAATACAATAATATTGGCATTTTTATCCCACTTAAACTAAAATTGGTCTTTGGAGTAAGCCTTAATCTGCCAAATTTTTTCCCTACTTTCACAGAATTTTACACGATAGTGTTGACATCAAAATGATTAATAGCTTACCCAACCAATAAAGCCCTAGTGAGATAAAATATGCAGGACCACATAGCATCACGTGCCGTGTTTCTTTGAGATGTGTCCCCACATGAGAAGAACAGTTCAAATGCATGCCTTCTGCAAACCAGTGCTTCGGCCGAAACCGATGCCAAAAAGGAATTACTCTGATTCCTCTGCAGAAGGAGCGCTGTAATGACATTATCGAGATTTCTACAAACTGGAAATTCTAATTCACATATAGTTTTGTTCAGGACTCCTGGCTCTGCCCACACGTCTCCTTAAAAGATAACAATTCTCACACTAAGTTCCAAAAAGGGAAACATCTTTCAAAAGACTATTTCTTCTCCTATAGGTTAGCCTGAAGACAGTTTTTCTTAACCATCTGACATTTTAAATCAAATGAAGATTTTTATAAGATATTTGGAGCTTTAAAAATGGCTCATTTTGGTAGATCATAACATAAAAATCCCCTGCGGCGTTTACTTTGAAGTTTCCTTCACAAAGTCCACCTTTATCCTAAACCTAGTTCAGCTACTCAATTTTTTTTTTTTAAGTCAGATTTTTATGTTAATTCTGATTTCATTTAATGTGTTAACCAAAAAACTCCAGAAAACTGACAGTTCTTAAGCCCAAGCTAAGTGTTTTGAGTTGTAGGATTCATTTAACACACATCAAAAAATAATCAAATCATTCTGCAACTAAGTGGAAATTGTAAATCCAACCACACAATCTGCATTTCAAAGTTATCTGTATTTATAAATAACTAAAATAGTCCTGTTCTGCACATTCAAAAAAGTGAATATTGGCAAACTGCACTTTCCTTCAATACCCTGCTGTTTATTTTGTTCAGCGATTAGTTCAATCTGAAGTGCACATATTAATGAATTGCACTAAAGCTACAGAGGCTAGTAGAGCACAAAGCCTTTGGCTTGGCCAAGGAAAGCTTTGCTAACAGCCGCTATAAAACCAGAGCCGCACAGCAGTTTAGCTAGCAGCTAACAGTCATGAATCCCAATAAACTCTGTTTTAACTAGAAAATAACATTTTTTCAGTTATTCTCAATTGCTACCTAATATCACAGGATATTATAGAATGTTAATGCAATAATAATTTATTGACATTAACAGCTCAAGATATTACATATCAGTAAATACACAGCATTTTAAGTGCAGATTACTTTCAGCAGCACTGAGATCAATACCTACAACTGTGGATGGCTTCAAGCACACAAACCCTAGAGCGAGAAGCACAAAGCAAAGATACCCAAGATGGTTTCAGGCTATCCAGTGTAAATCCTTGAAGCACGTTCACATAGCTGTTTTCCCCAAGGAGGAAGCCCCATTTCCTACCTTCGTTGCTACTACACCTAAGCTGGAACAGGGTATTGCATTACATCTTGCAGATTTACTTCTGCAGGTCAGTGCCAGCAGAGTCTCATTTCATGTTAGAGACTTGCCAATAGAAGCTTTACCAATGACTCTCCTGGCAGATATTTGTTTTAAACTTACCTTGCAAATACTCTGGTCTTTTATGCTCTTCACAGTCATATTTTCCTTATGATCTTCCATAATAAGTCTACCTGTGGCATTATTATTGATGCTACAGTAAGCACCTAATGTACATTGCACACATTTGCCATACAATGAATCAAAATTACATATCTTCCTCCTTTCCCTCTGCATACATTTTAATCCCCAAAAGGAGGGGTTTCTGGCATGTTGAGAACACTGCAGATTATATGAAGGAAGAACTGTTTACAGTAGCACGTGATACATGAAAAGATCATTTGAATGTCAAGGACAACTTAAAAAGTTAGATTCATATACATTTAATAGAGTAATACTACTAGTCTGTTTTGACCATTAGTTGGTCAGACACCCTATTCTTACAAAAAAAAAAAAACCACACCAAAACAAACAAACAGAAATCATAATGCAAAGGCTAAGAGGAATCATTTAAAAATTCAAAGGTTCTGTAAGGTGACCCTCATGGTTCAAATCTCAGGTGCCTGTTCTGTGTTGTGTTAGACCTTACACAGTCATTTACCCTTGCATGCCCACTCAGTACCAAGTCCTGCCAACTTCTGTGCACACGCTTAAGTGACAATACAAGCCAAATATAAAAGCTAAAGCTTTAGATTTGAACACCTTGAAGAATTGTTTTATAGGATAGAATCCCAGGATCATTCAGGTTGGAAGGGATCTACGGAGATCTCTGGTTGCAAAGCAGGATCAGCTCTGGGGTCAGACCCAGCTCAGAGCTTTATCTATTTGGTCTTGAAACCCCCAAAGCATGCAGATGACACAAACCCGCTGGTGAGCCTGTTCCACCTCTTGGCTGTCCTCAGAGTGAAACAGCCTTTCCTTATACCCCATGTCAACCTCTCTCCTTTCAACTTAATAAGTTGTCCCTTGTCCTCCTGCCATGCGCCACTGTGAAGAGCCTGGCTCCATCTTCTTGAAAGCCTCCTCAGAGATGCAGTTTTGCCCAAGGCTGCCTCTTCTCTGCACATTCTTGACCCTTACTTCCTCTTTAAAAAATGGAATATATGCTTTGCCATGATAAAAATTACTCTTGAAATACAAATTGTTTTACTGCAAAATTGATTTAGAGTCTTCAGTCTACAGCCAGCAAAGCTGAAGAATTATTCCTCCCCCTCTAACCAAGCACAAACAAAGACTACACGTTTCAATTTAGTTTTGTCTATTGCACTTAGTCTTACATTCGTAAATATAAAAATATTCAAATAGAACAAGGCAGCACGTTTACACTCTCTGTCCATAACTACAAATAAGAAATTGCCCTGTGGAGGTATCACAATGTGCAAAATGCATGGTGACCCTGTAAATAAAGTATTCAAAGGCCTGTTTTCTTCAACCCTTTATAGCTGTTATTTTTCATCTTACCTGACATGATTTACCACAGTATTTAGCAATCTTGCACTGAGAGCATCTGTGCAGATGTTCATTTCTGTTTAGAAAAAAAAAAAAAACAGTTATAAATACAAATAGAGCTTTGTATTTATCCTTCTTACGTAACAAGCAATTTTCAAATATTCCAAGGCAATAAAAATGCCTGAAAAACAAGAGTAGTCTAAAATACACTGTTACACAAGAAGAAATTGCACATAGTTACATTCAAAGCTATATTCACAATCCTTTACTCATGTGACTCAGCACCTCTGGGGCCACTTTGGATCAACAGTAAAGATATCAAAAGAGCTTTTTTTTTTTTTTTGGCCATACAGCTATTACCCTAAGGAGTTTGATTTTGTAGATATCATAGAGTTGCGCAATACAGCTAGTTAATCTGTTTATTATCTATCTTGAGTCTTGTCTTGAGCAAGCATCACTATCTGTCTTAAGCAAGACCTTGCTGTGAACCTGCAGTTGTGACATCAAGTTATAACTTTATAACAGAGTCTGAAGTTGACAGGTCAGCAGAAATTTCTGTTCTAAGAAAATACTTCTGACTGGTGGACAGTGAGAGGAAAATGAAAATTCAGGCAGGTGGGGGGGAAGGACCTTTCTCTGCAAGGTTCCCAGTGTCTGCACATTGGTACTGGGTGCGCTCTTTTCACTCGCACTCCCAACCGATGCGACTAAAACAAGGTTAATTCTCTGTCTCTGCTGACACCAGAAGAAAACTCCTCTGCTGTCATCAGTAATCTAGAGGCTGCATGCCACATATTCAGATTCCCAGCTCAACTGCTTTATGACATGACCTTCCTTTCTTCTTTTACTTACACCACTCAGTTGTCCCCAAATTTTAATTTCTATGGGTGACTTCAAAATGGTAGAACGCTCTCCAAAGACCACATCCAAAAAAGACAGCACCAACGCACCCACAAACTTCAATCTAGAACTTCTGGATGATGAATTTAGCCCACGGATTTTGGCCATGACACCAAAACTATCAGGAGTAGAGGGAGAACGCCAGAAATACCAAGGAACATCCTCTAGCACAAACCAATCTTCCCCTTCCCTCAAGTCCTGCAAATGGAAAAGGTATTTCGCTGATTTATCAAAGTATTGCTATGTCACCGTTTAAGGCTGGGCCGGTGCTTACAGCGGGTGGCAGATGCTCTCTGTTAACCCCGGCCTTTCCCAAAAGGGGAAGAGAGGAGAAAAGGGAGAGAGACTTGTGGGTTGGAAACTTGAAACAAACTTTAATAAAACAGTAACAGTGAAAAGAGTATAAATAATATTAAAACCAATACTACTAATAATAATGGAAATAGAATATACAACACCGATATTGCTCTCCCTGATGATGACTGCGAGGCTTGCAATGCTGACAGGGCATGGGCAGGCACCCGGACTTCCCAGAACTCAACTCCACCGCTGGCGGGAAACCAGACTGGGGGTGCACGGTCAGGGTCGGAGGTGGGAGAGCGAGCAGGGTCCCACCAGGATGCCGGCCATGAGGGAAAAAGAGCTGGCCCCTGTGATCCCCGAGCTTTACCCCGAGTATTCCCGTGGGTGGGATGGAATACGGCATTGGTCGGTCCCGGGTCACCTGTGCCCCCTGCAGCTTCCCGGGGGTGCGACCCCTCCTCCGCCTTCCCCCCACGAGGAGCCGAGCCGAGCCCAAGAGAGCCCGCAGGGAACAAGCACCCACCCGTGGGCCTTTCTGCGTAACAATCCCGCTCCTGCCCCAGCAACAACTACAGACATGAACCGCCGTCAGCTCTGACAGCGGGCACTGCCTGAGACCTGCAGTCAGCTCCAGACAGGGCAGTTACTAAAAAAAATTAACTGAAGGAAAAAATATCTACTGAAAGCAGAAATAGCTCTGTTTCAGCCAAACCAGGACATGCTACGTTTGAATTATTCAAAACAGCAGCTTATGCACTATCTTAGGACTCTTACAAGCATCCAGGGAGTTTAGATAGTTGCAGTGGTCAAAGATTAAGAGGAGCATTACGTACGGATCATTACAATCAAGTAACAATCTCTTCATTTCTACTGCATAAAAATCACCTTTTTGTTGCACAATATTTTGTAAGTATTCCTACTAACTACCAGGAGAAAAATAAATTAGAAATATTTCAGATATAAGCACGTTTTGCTAATGCCTTCTTTACCTTCCTACCTGCAAAGCCAGCTCTGAAGACTGAAAAAACTAGCAACTGTTGGATTCCTATAAACAGAATCTAAAATCTTGTACATGCACAATAGGTTTTTGATTTTTAGGTGCAATGCCTGAGGACGATTCAGTTAGAAGCAAGTGTGAAATCTTCATTTTGCCAGCTAGGGAGAGCTGCTTCATTTCAAGGTTGAGCAAGGTCAGAATTTTAACTAGCCTATGATAGAGGAGCACATATTTCTCATTCTAGATTAGAAGCTCACATCAGAGTAATTTGGGGAAGAAATACACTTGAGTGGAATAATTACTGTAGACAAAAAAAAAAAAACCACACCAAAAGCAGAAACGCTGTTTGGATCTGCTCATTGATTTGGATAGCAGAAGCAGTCCAGGTATAAATGCACGCTTGTAAACTAAACATAGAAATTCTTCCCACTGAGACAAGTTTTGACATCTTTTAATACCAAGCAGCACATTGGATCAAGAATGTAAAAGATTAATTTATAAGAAGTCCACACCTTCCTTCTAGACATTTCACAATTAACAGGATGGATTAAAACTTCTCTGAAGCTAGACCTTTCAAATTACTGAAAGATGGCACTACAAGAACTTTTAACTTGTTTAGCTATCGCTTTATTACCTTCCGAGTCCATCAGTGAACGATTCACAACATCGCAGGCAACACTGTCACTAACAATCTGCCGACCAACCTAGAACAAAGTAAGAAAGCCAAGCCCCGAGACCTTTGGGTTGCTGTCCAGCTCCCCACAGGCCCGGCCGCAGCCCTCGGGGAGGTGGCTCTGCAGATGGCCCTGTTGCTCTTCACAGCTCTGTTTTACACAGCTCGACAGAACCACAGAGAGGTCACGAAGGAGCTTTCAGCCTCTCTGTTTCCAGACATCTCCTGTGTATTCGATATTCTACGCTCATGCTAGCAGCCTCTAGCAAACTTCTCTTCATCGTTATATAGTATTACTCAAATGAGTAAGTGCTCACCCTACTGCAGAATGATTGAGCAAAACCGTTTTGAAGTTCTTTTTTTGCTCTAAATGCTATTCAACAAAACACAGTAACGAGTTAGGACTTTGATAACAGCGTATTTGCAATTTAGTCCCATACACATTAAAGTACCAAAAAGTCTCAGCAGCAACAAGTAAAACACAGATTCCCAAAGCAGGGTAATTATAACTTTCTGGAGCCAGAATTTAAATGAATGAATGCCCACAACTATCGGAGAAGTCTCTCCTACAGATTTCACATTCTTCCATCAGAAGGCTAGATCTGACAACTTTAATATACTGCAAGCATATCTTGCCTTGCTATACCTCTTGGTATTTTTCCAAGAGATGCCAGGATTTACTGGAATCATTGATGTTAAGTCCTCAATACACATTCATTCTTTCTTTTGTAAAGCAATTAGTGGGCCTGTCACCACAAAGCACCGAACTCCTTCAGCACCCACCGAAATTGCAATGCGTTACAGGATTTATTCCTTTGTATCCTTTGTCCCTAAGGGTTAACAATGCTCCAGTAACAAACGCGTACACACACACAAATCTAAGGACCGTCACTCAAAACTTGGATTGTTGCGAAAGCGACACTACCAGTCAGAGTGCTTGACTCGGGTGCCTCCCTGCCGGCACCCTACGATGACTGAACGATCCACTCACGTTTGGGGGGCTCTCTGAGTGACAAGCAGACGTAGAATGCCTGTTACAGAGCTGAACAGCAAAGCTACTGATGAAATCATTGCTTTTTCTTCCAATCCTCTCTTCCCTCTTGGACTAAAAAAATTCCTTTAGATTTATAGCACCTATGAATCTTGCCACATGACATTTTAAAACTAAAATAGCATGATCTAAAGCAATTAATCTGAATATAAAGAAGAGTAAGATTCACGCATACGGGATTCGTGTATTTTAGAACATTTTAAAATGCGAGACAATTTGCCTAGTTTATTCTGGTCTTTCTCAATATTTTACTAATGTTATAGATTCTATTGAAATAATTTTAAAATAACTGTCAAATACTCCCAGGCATTTCTCATTACCTGCAAACATCACCTGGAGATCCTATCAGGTTACTCAAAAAGTATCTACTGCATCTCACCTACTGTGACTAGTTTCATGGATAAGGAAATGCACAGAATTTGATCTAATGCATTCAGTAATATTTTAATCTCTGAAAAAGTTTCTGCTGCAATAGAAAAAGAAAGAAAGATGCAGCAACTGAAAATAAATTATTAATTTTCTAATACAACTTCAACAAAACTTTCCTAGCGACTGCAACCCCTTATGAAACAGCAAGCACAAGTGAGGATCTTAACCTGTACTTAAAAAAATCCACAAGAATAAAGCAAGCAGGCGTTGTCAGTTGCCCTCCAGTGTGGTGTTACAGTCAGGTGAAGAATTTTTACTCTGAAGAATTTGGATATTACAAAATCTTTTCAACATTATTGTCTACAAACACCATTCATAGAATAAGCTCTCCCAACGTGTACTGAGAAAGAAAAAAAAAAAAAATCCAAATATATAGGTGGGTGGAGGAAGTCTCAAGGGATTGATATGGACAGAAGACCAAAGAAAACCTGAGATAGGAAAAAAACTAGTAAGACAGTTCAACTCGGAGTGGCACACACACTCCTCCCAGCAAAAGAACTTTTTTTTCATTTGGCTTTTTTAAAATTCCTTTTTGTTAAAGGCATAAGAAGACCAGAGCACTGTAAGGAGGGGCTGGCGACGAGCGGCAAGGCACCCGGGTCTATGGGAAGCTGCCCCAAGTATGAGTGGCAGCATGAAGGACAGCCTGAAAACGCACGGCCAAACTCCTAAGAAGAACGTGCCAAGCCTGAAACCCAGAGTGAAGAGGCTGAAGAGGGTTTGCCTGGACTCTGGGGTCCTATCAGAGCCACATCTGCACTCTCACAACGGAGAAAACATGTGCCCTTTTAAAAACATCACAAAATACTTCTGTTTGCCAGGAAAGGGCCCAATAAAACTTAAAAAAAAAAAAAAAAAACACCCACACACAACAAAACCCAGCCAAATACAATTAGACTACTTAATTTATAATGAAAATACATCTACACTTCTCTGCTGATTGCAGGCACTTGACTTTCAGCCCTACTCAGGAGGTAAGTGTCAGACAGAACAGAACATTTGATTGCCAGACGGCGCTCAACACCCCTTTCTACGCAGTTTATTCACACTTCTGCCTCTGCCACGACTTGCAGGAAAAAAGGGCCATCTCACACGAATCCCCTACTGCATTTTTGTTGCCGATATTGTTTTTCACTTAATAATCCAGCCCTATAATACAGGTAACAAAAGAGCAGCTCTTTCAGGTGCATGTCATGTTGAACTAATTTCCTGAACAAATTCTTAGACCTTTGCAATTCAGTCAAACATGGCAAGTGTATAAAGTCTACGTGGATTTTCTCAAGTGTGTGCATTTCAGACCTGTCACAAAGTACAAGCAATCAATATCTACAATAAGCAAACATGTCATCATTTTACTAACACGCTTCTGTCTTCTAACAATAAATAAAGATGCAAATAACAGCAATTTTAAATTCAGTAGATTTGACAGCAGAGAGGTTATGTTAAATGCAATTACAGTTTGCTTTCCACACCTCTCTCCCAGCAGAACCACCACGCAGTGTGGCAGCACCGTTGGTCCTCACTGTTACCTGGCTGCTGACCCACCGGGGCACCAAGCACTGTGGGTGGGGTGGCATCTCCAGCAGCCCAAAAGCCACAGCATGGCTCTGGGGACAAGGACAAAGGGTGCTGGGGACCAGGCAGCAACAACCCCAGAGCATACATCTCTGCAACATCCCAAATCCAGGCCCTCAGCAAGCAACAAGGCCCCGCAGCCAGTGAGCCATGCCCGCTGCAGGGGTTCCCAGCCCCACCAGTGCCCTGGGTGCTGGTTTGGGGTGGCTCGGCAGGCTCAGGGCTTCTTCCTTCTCCCCAGCCAGGGTGCTGGACCTGCTCTGCAACTGCTGGTCAGCTGGCGGAGGAGAAGACATCCTCCACGCGCCCCACGGCCTCTGAAATAAGGCTACAGTTATTCTGTACAACTGCTCTTGGGTCCTATGTAACCCATTGCGTCTAGGAGAGCGAGAGTACAACAGGTAAGAAGCATTTGAAATCCACGTACCTAAAAGTCATGCAAAGATCTCCCATATTCTCCACTTGCACACTTCATTGTGATAACAAAGTATATGAATTAATCTTTTTTTTAACCTAACAGCAGCACTGGAGAGAAGTAGCTTTCTGAGATGTAGCAAGAATGACAAATATTTAGAGTTAAAATATAGTAACTACAGCTCACCATCAATGATCAGAGTCACTTATTCAAGCGAGAACTAAGACCTTTTATACACAAAAAATACATCTAACTTTATTTCC